TGTGTGTTTTTCACTGTTATAATGGGACCAATTTACATCTGAAGGCCAAAGCTAGCAATTGTTCATTTTGATGTGGGATCATCCACAAGCGACATGACTATCTGGGAGTAACTGTTGGTTGGGAAGTTGAAGCCAGGGCTCCAGAAGAGTGGCTGAAACAGAACTATCCTCCGATAACCAGGCGATAAAGGGGTATTTTTTTTAATAAAAATAGTACAAATAATCCCCCTTGGAAATTATTACCTCATCCTGAGAGTAGTGTTTGACTTGGATTAGCCACTGTGAATTCTAGTCTTTTAACATAACTGAACATGTTAAAGTAATTTAGGCCACATTAGATTATGAGTAGAAGCTATTTGCATAAAAAACTGATAAATATTTGTTATTATTTATTTTTATTGATTTTTAGAGAGAGAGGAAGACAGAAACATTGCTGTGAGAGAAAACACTGGTAGGTTGCCTCCTGTATGTGCTCTGACCGGGGAATCAAACCCACTATTTAGGTATGCCCTGACCAGGAATTGAACCCACTATCTCTTGGTGTACTGGACTGGACAATCCTCCAACCAATTGAGTCATCCAGCCAGGGCTATTTATGTTATTTTAATTAAACTACAATTGACTGTTAAAGAATGTGGGGGTTAGGGATTCCAACCACCTCCCAACACACAGTGAAAATCCACATATAACTTTTGACTCCCCAAAAACTTTGTTGTCCCTTAGCATCCACTGAGGATTGGTTTCAGGATTTCTGAGGATGCTCAAGCCCCCTATAAAGGATGGCATAGCCCTCTACATTTGTGGATTCCAAACTGCTGAACAAAACAGTACAGGTATTTATTGAAAAAAAATCCACATATAAGTGGGTCTGCATGATTCAAAACGTGTTGCTCAAGGTTCAACTATAATACATAGTTTTTTTCTGGAATGAATAATAAAGCATTTTCCTTCCATATAATTTTATAATATAGGTATCATAATCCCACTTTGACCTAATAATTCACATTTTTATTTCTTTAAGCCAGTCAGAAGAATTCCTTACTATCAAATTCTCATCAAGTCTCACAGAATTGGGATAACCTTGACCTACATTCCTGGGGAGGACATAACAGTTATGGGATATGAGGTACAGCATCTTAAGTTACAAATTATTTTTATAGGTCTTATTTACATTGAACTCAAATTACCTGTCAAATAAGAATACTGATAAAAATAAGGTATATTGCTACTACCAAAAAAAAAAAAGTAATTTAGCATGTAACTAAATAAAATCCTAAATTTATATCAACCAAAGGACTTACATGCAAGCATATAGGCCTAACCAATGGACACAGACAACAGGGGGGTGAGGGCATGCGTGGGGGGAGATGGGGGATAATGTGGGGATAAGGACACATACATAATAACTTAATCAATCAATCAATAAATAAATTTTACAGTTAAAAAATCCCAAATTTTATCAGTAGTATTTAGAAACCTTATTTAAATAGTATTTCCTTTTATAAAGGAGCTTAGAATATAGTGGTTTCGTTTCAAATATCCTAATTAAAAATTTTTTTTAAAGAAAACAACAATTAGAATTTACTGCTTTTTGGGAAGATTTTTTAAAAAAAATATTTTTATTGATGTAAGAGAGGGAGATATAGAAACATCAATGATAGAGAATCATTGATCGGCTGCCTACTGCATGCCCCCTTCTGGGGATCGAGCCCACAACTCGGGCATGTGCCCTGACTGGGAATCGAACCCTGACCTCCTGGTTCATAGGTTGATGCTCAAACACACAGGCTGGATTGGAAAGATTTTTTAAAAGGAGGTTCAGAAGAAAGGAATTTTGTTAGGATTGAGTTCAGGATAGGTTTATTCTAGCAGGCTTTGTGGCACAGGTCCACTAAGTAATTCATTGTGAGATTCCAGTATATGCCATGTGTCAGAAATTAAATTGCCATCAACTGTCCACAAAATGTGATACATCCTTAGTACACAGGGTATCATATGTAAACCAGTCCAGACTGAAGAATTTTCTTAGCTGCTCTATAGAATTGTATGACTGTCCATTTTACATAATTATTTTTTGAAGCAACATCTTTAAAAATTTCTGTAAATTCTAAAATGTGTTTGATAACTTAAAATCAAATTTGTATTCTTTCATACTAAGTTGAAACATACAAATATGATAGAACTAAGAATATAATGAAGCCATGGCTAAGAAAAATCTAGCCATATGATTAAATTTTTTAGTGTAAAGATTTTTTTTTCCTTTATGTACAGCTCCAATTGCACTTTTCTACCCAACTAGATAAATAAAAGCTAAGATATAATTTAACATTTTTTTGAAATAAAAATTCAAATTCATTATATCTTAAACTGTTTTTCTTATAACCTTATTTTTAATCTGGCTAAAAATTCATCTTAACGTTAGACTTAGAAAAGTCAAATTAAAAAATAATATGTTTTTATTCATTTCAGAGAGGGAGAGATAGAAACATCAATGATGAATCATGGATCGACTGCCTCCTTCACACCCCCTATGGGGATCTAGCTGGCAACCCAGGCATGTGCCGTGACCTCCTGATTCATGGGTTGATGCTCAACCAGAGCTACACTGGCCAGGGCAGAAAAGCCAACTTTTGACAATAATCAGAGAATGCAGTTGATAATGGCTACCATGTACTGAGTGGCTGCATTATTTTCATGGTTTTATGTTTTATCAGCTTTAATCTTATAGTAGTAAGTATTGTTAGTTTCATTTCATTAGTGAGGAAAGAGAAGCTTAAAGAGATTCAAGTGCCTTGTGAAGTTTGCAAAACTGGTAAATTTGCTCAGCAAATACTCGAGAACTTACTCTGGGTTGGCCCTGACACTATGTTAGGTCTGAGAATGCAGCCATAAACAAGAAAGACAGGATCTCCATTCTAAGGGAGCTTTCACTGTAGAAGTAAAGTCAGGATTTGAACATACTGGTGTCAGATTCTAAAACTTTTCATCTTAGCTTCCATATTCCCTTCCTGCTAAGAACATTACAGAAGAGATGGATAAAACTTCCAGTGTAACTTAAGAAAGGTGGGGATGGAAACTATATACAGTAGGTCCTCAGGTTACGTTGGAGATCTGTTCCTACGGCACGACGTGATTTTCGCTGTAAGTTCGAACCCACCTACATAAGCACCTACGTCACTCACATGGAGCACATACACAGCAGTAATGAAGTGAAACAATAAAAAAAATTTAGAAGAAAGGTAACAATTCCTGACCTTTACTTGTAGTAAATAAATAATAAAAAACATAAAGCACATATGTACATACGTCGAAATGACGGAACTTTTTTTTTATAAATAAACCAGTGGCCCGGTGCATGAATTCGTGCACATTGAAAGGGAATTAATTAGAATATTTTAATACCATTATTTGCTCTTTCTCTATAATACAAGTGTCAGAGATTAGAGAAAATTAGAAAAATGTATATAAAAGTAATATATAAATTTATTAATAAATAAACAACATGATATAACAAGAACAAACATGATATAAAAACAACAAAAACATGATATAAAAACAACATTGATACAGCTGATTCTGCGAGGGATGGGGCTCCCACTGCCCTGCTGTCTGGGTCCTGTCAACAGGCTCTCCACTCCCTCCTGTCAACAGTCTGGGCCAGCGCCTGTGGGGACGCAGTGTCAAGCCCCCGCCAGCGCCATGAGACCCAGAGTCAAGTCCCCACCCATCCGCGCACAACTCGATGCACACAGCCCCGCCCACCCGCACGCACGCGCCTCACCCCCCACGCAGCCCTGCCCACCCGTGTGCGCCTCAAAATCGCATGAGACCCAGACCCGCCGGCGCCTGTGTCAAGCCCCCCACCCCCACCCCGTGTGCCCACAAGGCTCCCCTGAGTCCTGGAGTCCCGCCCCATGGGGTCAGCACCACACGGGACTCCCCCGGTGCACCTCCTGGTCAAGTCCCTGCTGGCACCCATGGGGATGCAGTGTCAAGTCCCAGCCCACCCGTGTGCACCTGCTGAGCATGCAGCCTCCTGGTGATTGGTCATTATGGTGTGACAGCGTCACGACCACAGGCTTGGACTGCCTGTACTGGAATATGTTGTTGTAGGGAAGAAATATTGGCATATAGGTATCAAGATATGTCAAAAGAAAAAGTTTGGGACCTGAGCTGAATGGTGGGGAATGGAAAGTCTATGGAGATAATGTGTAATTCAATAGCAATGCCATATACATGGTTACATCTCAAATAGCCTAAGTAGTATCTCAGTGTATAACCCTGCACTGTTCAACTGGTGACCATTAGCCACTAATGGCTTCAGAGTACTTGAAATGTGACTAGTAAAACCAAGGAACTGAATTTTAAATTTTTTAAATTTTAATTTGAAAACAGATAGTTGATCCAGTTGCTAGATCTTTTAAGCATATTTGGAACAACTTGGGTATGTTAATGTATTGTTTAAACTAAACTTTAGGAAACTTAAAAATAGATAATATATTTCTGGTGAAAATTTAGCATCTGAATTGAAATGTGCTATAAGATATTCACTGAATTTTGAAGACTTAGTATAAAAGTAAATATAAAATACCTGTCAATTATTTTTAATATATTGATTACATAATAAAATGATAATATTTTGGATATACTTTGTTAAATAAAATATTAAAATTAGTTCCAACTGTTTTTAAAATTTTTAAAAAATGTGTCTACTAGGGAATTTTAAATTACTTATGTGGCTTGCATTATATTTGTATTGGAGAGTGCTGGCATAATCAAAGAAGCTTTGATGAAGAGAGTCTGGTCCATATATTACCTTTTATTTCTAGTATCAAAATATTTTCATAATATACTTCCTTATCCTTTTATCAAAAGTTATGTTTTGCTTTTCATTCTTTCTATTAATGTTAATGATCATGCTAATAACTGTGTCAATATTTCTTCTTATAGTAGAAATATAGAAGTTACTAACATATATACTAATATAAATTCAGTATATATAAGTGTGCACATATTTATTTCCAAAGAGTATTTCCCACAGTAAGATTTTCAAAATAGAAAGTAAACATAAGTATTCTGTGGAACTATATTTAAGGATTCACAGATTTTGGGGAGAAAACACTTTATATACTATACTATATATATATATATATGCAAAAGTAAACATTATAAAAAGTATAAAAATAGACAAAAAGATATAAACACAATATATTTTGGTTGGAATTTCAGAGATGTCTTTTTTTCTTCTCTTTTCCCTTTACTTCAAAAGTTAAAAATACTTTTGAAGCAGCATGTATTGTTGCACTTTTGATTTTTTGTTGTACAGTTAATGAACTTGAGAGTTTGGATGACTGGTGATCATCTATTTGGCCTTCCCATTCTTTCGTTTCTTCTTCTTTGATTAATAAAGGTTTTCCTAGAGTTTGGCCAACAAGGTTACAGACTTCTTGAGCTTTGCGCCATGCATTCTCAACAGCAACAAGACAGGCTTGCCGTCTTAGAAATGAAATGCAGAGATTATTAATATGACATTCAATGAACTGTAACACTGAAGAGTTTTGTTTAATTAATTGATAATTTAAAGATGTGCTGAACTTACCGAAGATTTTCAACAGAACCTGGAGTATGATAGAACTGGGGTTGACTGATAACAACAGAGCTATCTAGTTTTTCAACAAGAAAGTTACAAATATTTTGCATTTTTCCAAATTCAGCAAATGTAATGCAGACCTGCAAATGAAATGACACTTGAAATTATTTTCATGCCTGATACATTATTTCAAAATTTTCTCTAAATTAGAGTTTAAAAAGTAAAGCCATATTACACTGAGGTCATTTTACAGTATGTAACAGATATAAAAAGCCTAGCTGATACTTATAACTAAATTATTTTGTTATTAAATTTATTTTTGCTTATGAATTTTATCTAATATTAACTTGAATATTTAAAAATACATTTTAAACCAGTCAGGAACTTTTTATGGAAGAGAAATGGAGGTTTTCCCCCTTCAACTTTATTATTTGGCTGAATTCTAACTCTGATAAATTTTTCATGACTCCTTAGTTGAATCTATGCCATTAACTTTCTGATTAGCAGTAATTACATCATACTTCACTTCACTGCTGTCAGTGAGGTAGGTATGTTTCTTCTTCCAGTAGTTATTTTCAGATTTATATGTGGAAACATCTATTTCATTATGTCCCCTTTCTTTAAATATGTGGGAGGAATCCCTATATTTAGCAAGACTTAAAACTGTAGTCTTAAAAACCTTTTTAAGGAAGCAGACTAAACCTTTCTTTTAAGGAAAGTTTACACAAGCTTAATATGTAAAACAAAAAAGTACAGGTACTGGACAGAAGACAAGAGTAGCAAAGAGAGAGAGGGGTGACCTGACCTTCCGAGTCATCTTATACAATGCAGAACAGTTGCCTTTAAGCATAAATGCTATCCAGTGAAGACTATGATCTGTCTGATTTCAGTTCTAAGTAAATAAGGTATTTTATAATCATTTTGTCAACTTCTTTATTTTAAAAAGCTTACTGGGATTTTGATTGGGACTATAATGAATCTATATATATTTAAGGAAGAACTGATATCTTAATGATATTGAGACTTCCAAATCACTAACAAGGTATGTTTCTCCATTAGTTAGGTCTTCTTTTATTTCTCGTAGCAATGATTTGCAATTTCCAGTTATAGCTCTTTCACATTTTTAAAATCAGACTCATCCCTAGATATTTTATATTTCTGCTGCTTATCAATTCTAATAGCTCTTTTGTAGGTTCCATCAGATTTTCTACATAGATGGTCATGTTATCCATGAATAAAGACAATTTTACTTCTCACTTTCTATTCTGGATGCCTTTTATTTCTTTTTCTTGCCTGACTGCTTTAGCTAGAAAATTTCAAGTACAATGTTGAATACAAGTCATGAAAGTAGCTATGTTTGTCTTGTTCCTGATTTAGGCACAAGTATTTAGTTTTTTTCACCATTAAATATGTAGATTTTTCATAGATTTTTTTTTATCAGTTTGAAGAAGTTCCCTACTATTTTAGCTTGCTGAGAATTTTTATTAGGAATAGATATTGGATTTTTGTTAAATGCATTTTCTGCATCTATTGAGATGATCATATGGTGTTTCTTTTTTATTTTATTACTGTAGTAAATTAGATTGGCCTGTACTAGCTATATTAAAGTACAAAACAGATTGATATTATCATATAAATGCTTTCATATCTCTGGTCAAGAAGAATCCCCACTAGTTTAGCATTTCAGTAATAAAATAGAAACTGAATTCCAAAATAGGTGAGATTTTAAGTGCTTTTAATAAATTCATCTCCTGGATAAGTCAAATCTCAGCTATTGAAATGTTCTGCATATCTGCCTTCTGAATTATAATTGCTAACCTAAATTACCATAAAGTAACGGGCCAAAATCCTCCCTAAAAGTATGTGTAGTTCTAATTTCCAAAAAAAGGCGGGCAGATAAAACTAAACAAACTTAGTCTAGTGGGCTAGACACCTTTCAATCCCAGGCAAGATTCTAGAACAGATTATTTTAAAGTTTAGTTTATAAGAAATAAGAAAAGGAAAAAAAAAAGATTTCTATCAAAGGAAAGAAAATAGGGCCTTTGGTTTATTTTGATCCCTTGCCATAGGCCTCAGCACTTTGCATATTTTCTTTTCTCTTTGGTACTGACTGCCATAACCTATTTTTGTCTTCCCCCTCAAGTCTCCCTGGCTTCCTTGTTCCTGTCTCTGAAGAAATGCATACAGGGCTTCCTCCAGGTAGGCCTTTGTGAATAACAATATAAGGACACAAGAATTTAAGACTGAAATCTTGCAAGGTCCTTAGAATCATACATTCAAACTCTAATTACCGAGTTTCTTGCCGAGACACTAAGTAGAAAACTCTTCTGACTTCTAACTTTGCTTTTACTCTTGAGAGTGAAATTCACCAATTCTATACTGTTCTTTTAATCTCTACCTTCTGAATCACTGCCACATTATTTCTTTCCAAAGGCCAATATATTGAACATGTAAATTTGAAATCATTAAGAACAAATGAAGATGTATTAAATTTGACTTCCTAGTTGGTAAATCACCAGAGAAATACCAGAGCCATAGGGGGTTTTCCTTTTACCTATATATTCATACAAGCCTTAGGATATACTGACATACAGTCTTCATGGCAACATTGTTGCTTACGGTCATAGGTGATTAATGCTACTCAGTATTTTAATTAATTACATAGATAGAACACTGATGATCAAGTCAGCAGTTGAGATAAAGCTGGCAGTACTAAAAATAACACGGCTTGATAAAATTGAGATTTAAAAACGATCCCAATAGGCTGGAAATATAGATCAAATATAGTGGATAAAATCATCCAGAGATCAGTGTAAAATACTATAATTCATTTTAAAACAGCAATAACCAAGTGTAAGATAGGAGAAACATGACTTAAAAGCAGCATGTAAGAAAGACACTTTTTTTTTTAGCTGTAATGGTTACTAAAGGAGTTTCTCATACAAGAAATGGCCAAAGAAACTGGGGATCTCATCTCCAGAGAAGAAAAAAGTAGCATCAATATGATACTGAACTGCAAGTGTGGGCTTCAAGGAAGAAGAATTAGCGTTGCTTTGTTCTTGGAGAGGCATACTACTTATAAAAGAGGAGTACTAATAAGTCAATTCTGGTTTAATGTCAGAAAATGCTGTATTTATTAGATGTCTGAAAATGGAATGGGCCTTTTATATTCATGCATGTCTATGTATAAAGTATTCCACAACAAAAATTAAGAGTTAAAAAAAATTAGATGAGATAATGTATGGAAAACACCTGACAATGGCAAACATGCAATGAAAAGGAGAGGGAAAATTGTCTGAGTGGTTATACTGCTTTTTCTATTCAAAAGACATTTACTCAGTCTTTTATATCCCAGGCTTTTAAAATCCCTTCTAACACTGAGATTATGTAGATATATGAACTACAAAGCCAATGTTTTTAATCCAAATCCCCTCCTTACACAAAACCACCATTCATCCACCTTTAAAGACGTCACTTATATAATTTCTAACTTTCCATCTTCTTATCTTTATAGCTAGAGGCCTGGTGCACGGATTCGTGCACGGGTGGGGTCCCTCGGCCTGGCCTGTGCCCTCTCGTAATCGGGGACCCCTTAGGGGATAGTGGACTGCTGGTTTCGGCCCAATCCCCGCAGGCCAGGCCAAGGGACCCCACTGATGCACGAATCTGTGCACCGGGCCTCTAGTATGCACATAAGATCTTTGGTTAATCTCTTCCCATCCTCCCCGCTCTCCACTTCCCTCTAAGATTCATCAGTTTATTCCATGTTTCCATGCCTGTGCGTTGAATGTCTGCCGCCTGGTGGTCAGTGCGCGTCATAGCTACCAGTTGAACAGTTGCTTAGGCTTTTATATCTATCTATATAAAAGGCTAATATGCAAAGTGTCCCCTCAGGAGTTTGACTGGGAGACCGAGTGTTTGATTGCTCACTATGATGTGCGCTGACCACCAAGGGATGGCATGGAACGAAGGAAGGCCCAGCTGGCAGCTGGCAGCCGGCAGCTGGGGAAGGAAAGCCCCAGCTGGCAGCTGGAAGGCCCCGATCGGCCCTGATTGCTGGCCTAGGGACCCTACCTGTGCATGAAATTCATGCACTGGGCCTCTAGTATATAGATAAGCAGTAGCAGCATGGTAGGTGGAAGAATAAAGAATCTTTAGAGTGCCTTTCAGGATGAAAGTTTCAGATATTACATGAAAAGTAATGTTCTACCATCTAATCTTAATGTATATATTTAACTGTCCATGAGAATCCTGGTATATGTAAGACATTAGGTATTACTTTTCACGACATCCGCATCCATAAAGCCACACATTGTTCTTTACCTTGTGAGCCCACCATCCTGGTTTCTGCTGACTGCTGAGGCTGACTTAAGGGCAAACATGTACTGGATTGTGTGATATGAGTTCTGTGTACCAGGGGGCCCTATACAAAATATAATCAGATTCTCTCTTAAGAAATTTGAGTATAAGATATTAAAAAGGTAAGTACAGCAGAAGGAAGATGAGCAGAGCTTAGCCAAGTTCCCATTTAGCCATGCCTTATAATAAAACAAGTAGCTCTAATGTACTTTCTGTACATTAAATAATAATTTACTTTCTGATAATAAAATATTATCTGCCTGAAGATATGGCTAGGTTATTTCTTGAGTATTTTCCACCTCTAAAGACAAAGATTCTCTGACTAGATAAGTAAGATTCCACTCTAACCCCATTCTTGTTTCCTGTGGCAAGGCAGCAAGCATGCACCAAGCACATACCCCAGGATGTTCCTAATCAGAAACAGACAGCAGTCCTGTAACCTAATCACAACTATAACATACTCTGATTCATAAATTCTGATCATAAAATCTTTAAAGATCAGTAAAAAGTATACATAGTTGTAGGAAATAAATGTTATCATTGAGTATACAAAAATATTTTGTTCTTTCCACAACACAATAAAATTGCATTGTGAAACAAAAGAATGTTAAAGTGTTTCAATCCTTTGTTATGACTTTATTAATTTGCTTTTTATCTAAAAAGAAATTTCTCTCTTGTAGTTTTTCCTGCTCACTATGTAATGATATTATAAAGTTTTATTCAGGTGGTAATTAACTGCTACTTCCCCCTTGCTATTTTTATTGCATTTCAAAACAACTTCTCTTAAGTATATCTCATTACATTTATTTTAAAAGTTCACAGATATGTAACACCAAAAATGATTTTGAGAAAACCTTTTATCAATACCATGAGAAACATTTCTCCTGTACATTTCAGTTCAAGAACAAAAATAAATGCAAATTATTCACACAAAGTCATGCTGTTTTCAATTATTTGTAAGTACATACCTCTGCTTCCATGTGATAAGCATTTTCCACTCTTCTAAAATCCTTTGTCACAGTTACATTTTCTGCCTGAAACAGAAAGTACAAGAGTATGATTACTAAATGTCTGGCAACTAAATGGAATCACTCTAAAGGAATGTTAGAGTTTTTTTAAATATTTAATTTACAGTCTGGCCAGTGTGGTTCAGTGGTTGGGCACTGACCTATGAACCAGGAGGTCACAGTTCAATTCCCAGTCAGGGCATATGCCTGGGTTGCAGGCTCGTTCCCCAGTGTGGGGCATGCGGGAGGCAGCCAATCAATGATTCTCATCATTGATGTTTCTACTTTTCTCTTCCTCTCCCTGAAATCAGTAAAAAAATATTTAAAAAATATATATTTAATTTACAAATAATTTAATATAAATGTACTGAATATTTATAGTATGCAACTTTGCGCAAGTTACTCAATTTTTTTGATCCTTAGTTTCTGCATTTATAAAATTAGGTTAATACCAAGTATATATTACACAGAATTGTTTTGAGGATTTAATGACAAGTTATATATAGCACTTGACACAGAGAAGATACTAAGCAAATGTAGATGCCATGCTATTTTAATATAAAAGATGCTATGCTATTTTAATATAAGTTTTCTAAAATATTGGACCCAGACCAGTTTTTGAAAATATTAATGCTTTATGAATCTCTGCATAAATTTCAGGTACACAATTTTGATAACAATGTTAAATTTTTTATTTACTTTTCAAAATAGTTTTTAAAATTTAGTAAAATGAACTCTTCAGCTACTCTCATCTTTGGGGACAGGCATACCTTATGTTTTACAAAATTTTTGTATCCTTCAAAATATATGCTAAATAAATATAAAGATTATTATGCTCAATAATAATTTAATTATATGTTCTTTTTAAATTTTATTGATTTTAGAGAGAAAGAAACATTGATTTGTTGTTCCACTTATTTATGCATTCATTGGTTGATTCTTGTGCCCTGACCAGGGATCAAATTAGAAACCTTGGTGTATGGGGATGACACTCTAACCTGAGCTACTTGGCTGGGACCTAATTATATGTTCTTTTGTAGGGGACCTACCTGCATCTGAATTTTAAGATATAAACTAAGTTCAATCAGTTTATATTATCCAGAAAAATTAGAAAAAGCTTTCACCCAAAAATGTGAACTAAAGTTCCAATTATAGCTCTAATGCCTGTCATTCTCATGAAAATATTTATGCATTTTTATGATAAAGACTAGAGGCCTGGTGCATGAAAATTCATGCACTAGAGGGGGGTCCCTCAGCCCGACCTGCCCCCTCTCACAGTTCAGGAGCCCTCAGGGGCGGTGCTGGGGTCCAATCCCAGCAGGTCCAGGGGTCCCCAAAGGTGTGGACGGAGTCGGCGAAGAAGGAATGACACGAAGACAGCCTTCAGTTGGTCAGCAGCCTAGTCAGGACCTATAGCCAGGATCTCCCGCCAAAGTTCTGGTCGGAGTTCTGGTCAGGAACTGATGAGGATCTGACGTTTATTGTCTTATTACATCCGTATTTATACCAGCCGATTTTAATCCTGTAAGGTGTTTCTCATCTCCATTCCAGGGAGTAAAGACCATGTAGCTTAATTACCCGCCTGGCACTTAATTAAGGGGTTGTATCCCCTCCCTAACCTCAGGGAAAGATCCCCACCTGGGGAAACAACCTTTCTCGGAGAGGTGACCTTGGTTAAAACACATGGCGCTAAAGGGAGCAAACATATTAAAAACAGTATGCTACATACGCCAGGTCCACTGAAACACATGCTGTGCAGATGCCTCTTTCCTGCAGCGACTGCGTCAAGCAGCAAGGATGGACCGGCCTCCGGCAGGGCGGGAGGTGACCCGGCCATCAGGGGACGGCGACGCCCCATCACACCTCTGCTGCTGTCACTGACGGCAGTGCAAGCCTCAGCCGGGCCCTGGTTACCTGAGCCTCAGGCAGCCCTGGGTGGCTGGGCAGCCGCCATCTGAGGCTTGCCTGTGCCTCGGGGTCGGCCCTAGGTGGCTGGCGGGCTGAAGGGACTAGGGGACTCTGGTGGCAGGCACACAGAGCGGCCGGACCCACCTGGGGACAGGGCCGGCCTTGCCACGTGCCTGCTGCCCTGGCGGGGCCGAGGGTACTGGGCGCCACCATCTTGTGGCTGTGGGTGCTGCCATCTTTGAGGGCAGGGCAGTCAAATGGCATACTCCCTCCTTATTGGCTGTGGGTGCCACCATCTTTTGTGATGGTGTGAGGGTCAATTAGCATATTCCCTCTTTATTAGGTAGGATAATTGCTGACTGTAGAAAACTTAGAATGCAGATAAATTTAAAATGAAACTGTACTGTATTTCTTGTGCTCAGCTTTATTCACTTGATTAACATGAAACTTTTCTGTCACTTGATATTCTTTTATATTAGGGAAAAGGAGACATATGTAAAACTTTAGACAATAAATAAATTTAAAAATATATATAAAAATATTCTTTTATAACATAAACATATCTTCTACCAAGACATTAAAGAAGCAATATACTCTAGTGGTTAAGAGCATGTGGTCAGAGTTCTTGGCTGGAGTCTAAATGCTGCCACTTCCTATCTGTGTGACTTGAACAAGCTAATGCCAATAACTACTGTGATCCTGGGAGTTCTCATCTCTAAAGCAGCAACTAAACTGCCAGTCTCATATGACGGGAGTATCACATAGATAACATCTGTAAAAGGTCTAGCAATAGTAAAAAGTTTTTTATTATCAATAATATCCAAACTCCTCAGTATTGCACACAAGGCCTTCCTTCACATTCTGTGTACAGCTTTCCTCTTCAGTCTTATCGCTTGATTCCCCTCCACTTTCCCTAAGCACTCCTGTGCCCTAGCCATAGGGAGCTGTGTATAGTGTTCTGAACACATACACTTGCTGCACTCTAGTGTGAAACTGGAATGCTTTCCTGCCAGCCACTGTTTAAGATCTGACACGTGTCATTTCCATTATGAAAGCTTTCTGGAATTCCTCAAGTAAAATGAACATTCTTTTCTTACACTACTATATTGTATCATGTACATACTTTCATCACAACATCTACTATGTATTAGTCTATTCTGATCGTGTGACTCCTTCAGCACAATACCGAAATTTTACTCATTCTCCATTTCTGGTGCCTAGCAACATGTTTAAGGCATCCATTACATGTTTATAGAAAAAAATATACAGTTATGAAGCTTACAGCTTGTGAGAGGAACATACAAGCCAGAAAACAAAAGAATTACACATTACACTAAGTGCTGTTTTAAATTGAACAGTGATAGGGAATGCCTAGTAAATGTCTGATGGTTGAATGAGTTCTGCTTAGAACTTTAAAATATTTTCCAAGAAAACCCTAAAAAATGAGGCGTATGCCTTCAGACATGAAGCTATGTGATCATGAAACTATATATGATCTGTAATATAGCTGAAGTCATTGTTTATGCTTCTCTCATTTTTTTCTTTTATTCATTCAGAAACCATTTTCTGAGTATGCACTATGTGATATATATGAAGCATAACCCATGAATGCAAAGCAAACAAGGGGCAAAATGATCTCTTCTCTACAGAGGTTTAGAATATGGAGGAAAGACAAGTAAAGCAACACATATAATACAGAATGATAAGTTTTATTACAAGTGGGGAGTGGAGTGTGGCATGACAGGGACTACTGTTAGGAAAATAATGCCAAGGAGGTGAACTTGGGCTAGTCTTCGAAGAAAAAAAAAATGGGAGTCAGCTAGTAGTCAACCAGGAGAGAAGGATGACAGGAAATGATAGAGTTAGGCTCTATCTATAAAGCAAAGGAGTTTGGAATATGAGGAGCCCTTTAAACAGGGGAGTGATGTTTATAAACCCAAGATTCCAAAGTTTAAAATAAATAAAGGCTTTGTGAAGACCCATTATAATTCGTCCTGCAAAGTAATATAAATGATTTTTTTTCATTACCTATTGAACAAATTACCTACATGACTGCTTTTCTCCATTAGCAGAGATAATTGGAAGATTACTGACCTTTGTATGTCTTGCCCTGAACACTGAATCTTAATATAATCTTAACTGTAACCTGGACATAGTAATTTATTTTGTTTTACATATTAGAAGTTACAGTCAGTGGGAGCAGTATACATTTTATGTAAGTAACTTAAGAATTAGGTATTATTCAAACAGGACTGCAGTGCTGGCAGCAGTTTTTCTCGGAAAATATTTCTCTACATATTAAATACATTAAATTCATTTTATTCACATTGTTTTAATTAGCATTTGCATTCTTCTAAACTGAAAAATCATTTAGAGACATTCTTTTACAACTGATTTTAAAAATAACTCTATGTTTGTAAATGCAGTACAAGTATGTTTTCTCCTTAAAGTAAAAACTTGATTTTTCGGATGTGTCATTTCTAACAATAAACTGGAAGCACTTTCATAAACTCAGTGTTACCCTGGGTCAATCGCAACTATGGTCTTTAGGGTCCTATTTTGTAAAACGAAAGAATTGAGAGAGCTGACCCATTCATTCTATGGTTTCTGATTTTCTTTCATTCTATTTATCCTCCGCTGCCTGGCATTGTCGGAAGCAAGCTGTGTTTTGGTTTCAGGAATACAGGAGTTCAAATATCGCCTTGGCTGACGTTCAGAACATTACTTATTACTTAACCTCTTTAAATCTGGAAAATGAAGATATTAAAACCTGCCTAACGAGGCTGTTGTATGGATTAAACAAGGCTGCTTCCTTTTTTTTTTCTGTTCTTAAAAGTAGGCTTAAGGTTATTTATTTAGTGATTTCATAGACACCTGGTAAGTAGGGGTATTTTATATAGGCGGCATCTACAATATAACAGCTTAATTTTTTAAAACTGAAAAATTTGGAGAAAACCTTTGAGTCTTCAAGGACCCCCTCTCCCCACCCCCATTTCTGTTTGCCCAAAATACTGAAGGACCTTTCCATGCGAAGCTTTCCGTGGCTGGGAGGAGGAAGCAGATCATGCTTTCCCCTTGCCAAATTCCAAGGTGCCGCATCAGAACAAAAAACGATTCGGGTACAGCACACTACTTAGGCAAGCACTGGCATCTCATGTTTCAAGTTTGACAGCTCATCATTACAAGGGTAAAAACCAAACTACGGCAGCAAATATCGCTATATATATATATATA